GCGGGACTTAGATTAAGTCGCCCACCACAACAATGAGGGATGACCACATTCATTGGGTTAGTAGGCAGGTGGTGATATAACTGAAGTCTAGACCTGTTCGAATTGACCGAGTCCGGAATACCACATCGCATGATCTTCCTCTCATACACAATCTACATAATTATCTCAATGCTCCTTGCATCAACCGCTATCACAGGAGTAGAAATTATCGCAACAGGGTGTGATGAATCTACGCAGCGATTTTCGTGATTTCACGGCTTCTGATTGGACAAATTGTACGAATTCGCAAGGTGACCTGCCTTGCGAATGCCAAAAACAGACAGATACATGAAAAATAGAAATCAACAATACAAACTTGAAGATATATGTAATTGAAACTAACGTTATACAATTTCAGCATTATTTATGGAATTCGCAAGGTGGTTCACCTTGCGCTGCATACAAAATTGCCTATTTCACCTTGCTTTTTCTGGTTAATGTACAGTATATCAGCTTTGTCAAGCTGACCGTTGTAAGTGCCATCAGGCGCCTTCAGCGACGAATGCGTCGTCCAACGAAGCCAACACCCCAGCTACTCTAGCGAACCCCTCTAGCGAACGCCACGCAGTTGCGTTTGGCTGCCTTGCCGCTGCTTTTGCGTCCCGCATATTGGCCGTCAGTGGCCCTTAAGCAATGCGTCAGAGTCTTTGGTGTCAATAATCTGCTTAATGCACTAGTATGCTACGATGCTTCATGTAAACCAAGCATCCTTTCCTCCATATTTTACTCGTATAAAAATGCTAATGAAGTTGAAATTGATCATACTCATTTTCCTATTATGTCTCCGTCGACCACCAATCTCCTTTCAGACTCATTTCCAATCGCAATACAGTATGCATCTTGTTTCTGGAGACTGCGGGAAATGGCGAACGTAGCCATCCTCGCCGACATAAGCGAGGATGAATGTATGTCTAGACGAAGGAGACGAGTTTTGATTCAAGTCGACTTTGTATTCGATTCTCTGTTCAAAACGTATACGTATGAACTTCAAATTTTGGCTGCCAGTTACGATTCTCTTTGGAAAAGTATCCACTACATTCCATGAGAATACCATTCATATTTTTAGTATAAAATACCTACTTCGAAGTATGTCATAATTTAAAAAGATAACATCGAAATATAGCATCAAGTTAACATCAATGTTTGTCATAATTTATGACAATGTGAACTGGAGACTGCGGGGAATGGTCATATTAGAACGAACTCGATGGAGCTGATGCCTATAAACGCAATGCTACACGATCGAATTAGTTATTACTTCACCTGGTTGACAGAAACCTTCGTCGTCGCATCTTCGTTGGTGATTTGGTCGTCAACCTTGCTCCATGGAAGCGCAAGAAACCGTTTCATTATTTTTATCTTGGCGTGAATAGAATTTTTAAAAACAACACAGCACAACGATGTTATGTGATGTTATATTTGGAAGCAAAGAAAACTAACAATTTTGATCAACTTGGATGTTATATTTGAGACAGCCACTTTCAATGCCACACAACATGAGCCAATATAAATCGACCAGCCCCAGACTTCATTCGCGTGTTCACAAGCATTGTCGCTACATAATGTCGTATCATAGAGGTCGCTATGAGGTATATTCATCGAGATATTTACTTACAAAGTTGGTTATATTTGCGTTTTTTTGCTACTTTGAGGACTCATCACTCACGCTACAAAGTTGCAATCGTCATATTTCTTGCTTTAAACGTTAGCCTGCAACTAAGTTTGCAATATCTACATTCATTACACCGCTCGTAGGCAAGCCGTCAGAGAGATATTCGATGTTAAAGTCATGTACTTTCTAAGTTAGCTAACAAAGTTGATCATAAATTATGACTAACTTCAAGTCATATTTCACTTATTTAGCATACGTGAAGTGACCTCAAACATGCCGAAAAACTGAAATATAGCTTACTTTGGGTGTGATTATATCCTGCAATAAGCATCGTAACACCGTCCATGCACTTCATTACGTAGTATCAATGCTGCTGTTTGTACATGCAACCATGTTCTTGCGTTGATCAGTGATCTCCGAGCCACGAAACAGCACATAAAAGACAGCATTTTGGCGTTAACTTCAAATATAGCGAGATGACAAACAATTATTGTCTCTGGAGCTATAATTTATTGCATACATTGATATATTTCTAGTATGTTATAATTTTCTTACATTTAAATGTCATATTTTTAAAGTTATGCAACCGTTTTGTGTGCAGTCCAGCAACAGAAAGCGCAATCGATTGAGGAAGATGCCAATCCTTCAAATGGCAATTAAATGTATTGCACCACTGGTTTCATCGTTGGGCTGAGCTTGATGTCGGCTTCAATGACAACTTTACTTGACCATTAATCCATTTATTTTTGAACTTTAGGTTTTTAGTTTAAACCAGGCATTTAATCCAATACTTTAATCTTAACGCCACAACTATGTATTGGTCCCTATCAACAAACGCGTCGTGTCAGCGCACCTCTCCATGTACAGTATGGTGCAAGAGTGATGACGTTAAAGCTCACAATAGTAAGATATCGAGGGTTGTTTCGGAGGCTTGACGTCAATGGGACAAAGATCACCGACGGAGCACACAAGGGGATGTTCGGGGTGTTTGGGGAGGACAGCCAACTCAGGGAACCCGGGGAAAGCCGGGGTAGCTGGGAAGGTCGAGAACACAGGGGGTTGAGAAGTCGACTCAGGGAACCCGGGGTAGCCGGGGATCACGGGGAAGTCGGGTCGGGTTTGGCGGGGGTGGAGTCAAGGGCGACTCCGAGAATATGCAAGGAAGATGGAGTGAGGCACCGTGGATAAATCCAGCAACAAGCCACCACACACACACGTAGACAGGGAAGGTGTCTACGTGTGTGTGTGTAACGTACATTTGGTACACTTGGTCGAGGTTCAGCAACGGAGGTCGTCTGCGTTGCAACATCGCACGGATCTGTGGCCAGAGATGTGTACCGAGGACTTGGCTGGTACTGGTTTGGAGGGTGGTGAGGGTTTCGTACACTTGGTTGAAAAGCGTGTACGGACTTCAACAGCAGACTTCTTGGGGTGGATCGTTCAGGGACTGTACTGCGCAGGGTCTAAGCCATACACTGCAAAATTTGATCTGTTGTTATGTATGTAATGTACGATGAATTTATGTAAGCTATCCTAAAGCAAATTTTCCCCGTCAATCTGGTCGAGGCTTGCCAATGCTGTTGTCACGCCTCTAGGGCTAGGCATGGTGGGTGATTGTGGACCAAAGCACGGATCGCAATTGGTCGAAATCCCTTGCATCTGCAGCGGCTGCTGAGCAGCTCAGACCTCCGGCGCCGTGTTGACTACGGTGGCGTCCAAACGTATGAACTCGCATATGCAGCGGACATTGCAACATAATTCTGATTTGTAAGAAGTGATCCCAGGGCATGATTGTTGCTGAAAGTGTAGACCCATGGCCAGATCTTGGAACACCCAACAACGTCTTCAACACCAAGTCCCACCCTTAACAACATCCGATCTCACTGTTGAAACGCAATCATACCCAGGGAATGTTGGTTGGAATGATGGGCTCATTGAAATGTTGGCCCACAATGTTGGTTTGAAAATTGTTTTACCACACAAGAAGCCTAGAAACGACGATATTTTGAGCACTTTTTAGAGCGTTATACCATGTGCAGTATTATATTTTCCTGGCAAATTAACCACAAAAACGATAGATCTCGACAAGGTGAATCGATCATGTGGTTACAATTCACAATTGACGAAAAAATGAGAGCTATTTTAGTTTAACGTTAACCGATCGCCTTGGTACAGAAATGTATGGGCTCGGACGTATTTTGGCCACCCCATAAGTCTTGACGTTTGTATGGGCCAGTTATCTGTACACTTTATCCGTACGTAGCTGGGCATAGACATGGCGGATATTTATTAATATACGGTAATCTTAGTATTCATACTGTAACAGTCGATTAGAATGATGTAGCCGTTACAATGGCGCATCTGTGTTGCTTCAATACTATATTAATATTAATAGTACGGTGTTGAGCTACCCGTATTCTCCATCTACTTGTACCCAAGAGTTTTCCTGGTCCAGTAGTACCCAACTTCGAAGGTCCGGCGATTGTTCGGCGGTTCATTCAACTAACCGCCGGAGGAAATTAATTTTAATACTAGTAAGTTACCATTTATTAATATAAATACTGTATGTAAAAAGCAAATCGAAATACGTCAAAGCATCCGGATACCCAATGTGCACTCACGAATTGGCGGTTCCAAAATCGATATGGGTTTCCCTCCGAACAACTTACTGTGCAACAACAGGTTTGACCACCGCACTTGGACTGCATCATGCCAACACTACGATCGAAGGTGACCAAGCAAATAGCCGCGTCGTCGTCTCTCCTGCGGTGCCTCGAAGGGCTGGTGAAACCATCGTACGCCAAGCAGGCGGAAAAGTTTGTGCACCGGTCGTATTGCCCTCACGACATCTTTGTGGGCATTCGAGTGCCGCAATGCCGTGAAGCAGTTAAGACGCATTTGGCTGCTACTACCTTGAACGACGTGGTGGATCTCCTCCACGATGCGCGTCACGAGATGCGCCTGACAGGGTTCATTGCCTTGACCGAGGCGTTCCTTCGTCCCACCACGACATCGTGGTGGAGTGACACCGAAGACGTTGTGCCTGTGGACGATCACATCAAGCAGCTAGGTAGGTACACGAGACTATCCTTAGTCCATTTCGATATATGGGTTTCATCTTACCTAATAGACTACTCGGCGGACGACTTACGCCGCCATGCGATTGCCAAGATATACTTGGCTAACACTAGCCACTGCAACAACTGGGACTTGGTGGACGCGTCGGCGCACAAGATTCTTGGCGAGCATTTAATTCGCTTTCACGTAGCCGACTTGGCCAGTTTCGTCCTTGCGGGCCCCACCGCCGAGGTGGCGTGTCCCCCCTTTCGCGTGGGCATCCCATCCACTCATGTGCTTGTTCTTCTAGGCCATAGACTTGCTACCAGCATGGTACCAGCGTCTGTTGCGGTCAAACGACCTGTGGGAGACTCGCATTTCGATCGTGTTGTTGCTCAAGCTCCTTCCAACCGAGCACTATCACGTGGCATATGCCGTTTGCCTCTACCACATCAACAAGTTCCATGCGGATCCGCTACTCCGTTGTACCATTCGTGGCGTGCCGTTTGAGAGTTTGGACTTGATCCACAAAGCACTTGGGTGGGTCTTGCGCGAAGCGGGCAAGCACGACCCTGCTCGCTTGACCCAGTTCCTACACGAACATGCGTCCAAAGCGTTCAAGACCACGGTGCGGTACGCCACAGAACACATGACCCGACCCAAAGCAAAGCGGTTTCTGGACGTTGCTCAGCGGGGGGTCGGGGGTAGTGTCGTCGTCGTTGCCCCGTTGTTGGAGGAATAAGTAGCCTAGGCATAAAAACGACATCTCGCTGCAACTTCAATGTTTGCCCTTTGGTATACTACTGTACTGTACATGGAACTGATGCAACCAACAATATTGCCTTTCAATGGACATTGCAGTGCATACATAGTACATCCCTTTTCCGATTGCAGTTTAGCTACGTATACTGTGTACGGTACAGTAGTACAGTGAAACGCGGTAGACATGGACTGAACACGGCAAACATGTCGCGAGGACAATCGTTTGGATGCGCGATATGGAGGCTCAAGGCGATGCCACGATGTTATGGAGTAGCAGCAGCAATATTACTGTACAGTACATAGTACGTAGCAACTTGCTACCGGTAGTGTTCAACTGTGAATACTACAAATTAGCCATTTCTATATTGGATGTACTAGTAGTGCACCTACCTACTGTACATGTATCGCCAAGTGATTTCGCGCTGAACTCGGGTGGCAACCATCTTTATTTCCTTCCCTCGAACTTCCTTCCCTTGAAATTTGCTACGTGCGACTATTTGAGCGTCGTTGTCGTCGATATGATCACATCGAAAAGGGGTGTTGATGTGAAGGGAATCAATCAACAACGAATCCGCCTGCATTTCTTCCTTGGACTGTCCTTTTTACAGCTTCGAGAAACCAAAGCTAACGTTACTCGGCGTAGATTGATGTTTTTGACTGCGCAATGTACTCCGTATATCATCTACCGAGCGGCTTCAGTTTTGAATCTTTCGCCTGCCAACCCTGCTAAGTGATGATTGACGTGCAAATGATTCCGATCCTTGGGTCGGACCCAATGTTTGGTCAACTTGTGTGGTTTGATTGGCCCATTCCAGTGACCGATGCCGTTACGCTCTTGCCTTTGCGGTGTCGCACAGGTCGTAGCCAATCAAATCGCTGGAATCCCATTTGACCAAGTTGGCAATCACCGCGTTCGACTCAACACTGCCAACGCAGCCAGTTTATACGGCAACGAGGCCACCCGTAATCGTTCCGCAACACACACGAACAACAAATAGTACTAGGTACGAAGTATGTGCCAGCCCGATCATGCTACAACGACGACGTTGGGACGTGGGTTGTATCACTTTCACAATTGCCTTTGCCTGCACACATGAGAAGCAGCAGCAGCCAATCCAAGCCCGAGCCAGATGCGGCCAAGCCGAGCCCGACGTCTGCAGAAGGCTTCTTGGCCAACGGGTCGGAACAGTTCCACGCTATGTTGGCTACCCACCTCGAAACCTCGACGGGCAAAGCCATGCCGCAAGTGGAAATTCGCTTCAAAGACTTGTCGCTGGCGGCCAAAGTCACAGTCGCCAACAAGGACAACGAGCTCCCGACCTTGTTCAACCACGCCAAGAAGTCGGTCATGGGCTTCTCCAAGTCGTCCAAGCGCGTGGAGCACAAGGATATTTTGCACACTGTCAGCGGTGTGTTCAAGCCCGCGACCATGACGCTGCTCCTAGGTCAGCCGGGCTCGGGCAAGTCGTCGCTCATGAAGATGCTTGCCGGACGATTCCCCATCGAAAAGAACATCCAATTCGGCGGGGACATCCAGTACAATGGCTCCGACCGCAGCGAGGTGTTGGCCCAGCTGCCTCAATTGGTGGCCTACATGAGCCAGCGCGACCACCATTACCCGACGCTCACCGTACAAGAAACAATGGAGTTTGCCCACCAAGCGTGCGGTGGCAGCGTCGTGCCCGAGCGCGTACTCGAGTCCATGAAGCACGGCACCCCCGAGGAAAATGCTGAAGCGCTCGAGACGTTGAAGGCGCTGTACGAAGTGTACCCGGACGTGGTGGTCCGTCAACTAGGTCTGAGCATCTGCAAAGACACGATCGTGGGCAGCGCCATGCTGCGCGGCGTGTCGGGCGGCGAGCGCAAGCGCGTGACGATCGGCGAAATGGAGTTTGGCATGAAGCAAGTGTCGCTCATGGATGAGATCTCGACGGGGCTGGACAGCGCCGCCACATTCGACATCATCAAGAGCCAGCGCAGTTTGGCCAAATACTTGAAGAAAACGATCGTGATTGCGCTGCTGCAGCCGTCCCCCGAAGTGTTTGACCTGTTTGACGATGTCTTGGTCATGAACCAAGGCCACGTGATGTACCATGGCCCGTGCAACCAAGCGCGAGCGTACTTTGAATCGCTCGGGTTTGTCTGTCCGCCGAAACGTGACGTGGCCGACTTTTTGCTCGATCTTGGCACCCCCCAACAGCTCCAGTACGTGAGCCCGTTGGCCGCGGGGTCGTCGATGGCGTTGCCCCGATACCCCGGTGAGTATTCGGCGCTGTTTCAACTGTCGCCCATGTATCGTGGCATGATGGACCACGTGGATGGCCCTGTGCACCCGCTCTTGCTGCACGACGCTGACCACCACATGAAAGCCGTGCCCGAGTTCCAAAACGAGTTTGCCAAGTCCACCATGCAACTGGTCAGTCGTCAGATGAAGGTGATGCTGCGCAACACTGCGTTCGTCAAGACACGGGCGTTCATGGTCGTGATCATGGGCCTGCTGTATGCGACGACGTTTTACCAAGTCGACCCCCAGCTAGCTCAAGTCATGTACGGCGTGATCTTCCAAGCGTTGTTGTTTCTAGCGCTTGGTCAAGTGGCGCTGCTACCGGCCATTTTGGACGCGCGAGAGATCTTTTACAAACAGCGCGGTGCGCACTTTTTTCGCACGTTGTCGTTCGTGTTAGCCCAAACCATCACCCAAGTGCCGTTCAGTGTAGCGGAAGCCTTGATCTTTGGCACAATCATCTACTGGATCTCTGGGTTTGTGTCGGACGTCGGGGCGTTCTTGGTGTACGAGTTGATCTTGCTACTGACCAACATTTTGTTTGCATCGTGGTTCTTCTTCGTCGCGGTGGCGTCGCCCGACTTGCACGTAGCCAAGCCGCTGTCGCTCGTGTCCGTGCTGTTGTTTGTACTGTTTGCCGGGTTTATCATTGTCAAGACCGACATCCCCGACTACTTTATCTGGATCTACTGGATCAACCCGATTTCGTGGGGCATGCGTGCGCTATCGGTCAATCAGTACATGGCGTCCGAGTTCCAAGTGTGCGAGTACAATGGCGTCGACTATTGCAAAGCGTACGGCGGGAAAACCATGGGCGAGGTCCAGCTCGAGCTCTTTGGCATGCCCACGGACACGGCATGGATCGGGTACTGCTTGGCGTATATGGTGGCCATGTACTTTGCGTTCGTCGGCATGTCGTTTGTCGCGTTGGAGTACTGTCGGTACGAACATGGTCACGGCCACGGACCGTCGGTGGCATCCTCCCCCGAAGACAGCAGTAGTAGCAGCCTCAGCCACGACCATGAACCAGACAAGGCGGCGGCGTACGCCCAGATGCCATCGACACCCGTCCTCGGCTCCCACAGCGACGACTCGTCGGTAGCAGTAGACATCCGCGGGCCGACTTCCGTGGCTGCCTTTATTCCCGTGACCCTCGCGTTTCAAAACTTGCACTACTTTGTCCCCAACCCGACCAAAGGCGAACCGGATCTGGAACTGCTCAAGGGGGTGAGCGGGTACGCCCTCCCTGGCACGGTGACGGCGCTGATGGGGTCTAGTGGCGCCGGCAAGACGACATTGATGGACGTGATCGCCGGCCGCAAAACAGGCGGCAAGATCGTCGGCGATATTCTGCTCAACGGCTACGCTGCCTCGGACTTAGCCATCCGTCGATGTACGGGCTACTGTGAGCAAATGGACATCCACTGCGAAAGCGCCACCTTCCGTGAAGCACTGACATTTAGCGCCATGTTGCGGCAGTCCAGCGACGTCCCGACGCCAGTCAAGATGGCCCACGTCGAAGAATGCATTCGGGTGTTGGAGCTGCACAACGTGGCCGATGCTATCGTGCGCGGCAGTTCCGTTGAGCAAATGAAGCGTTTGACGATCGGTGTCGAATTGGCGGCGGCCCCGAGCGTGTTGTTTCTGGACGAGCCCACGAGCGGGTTGGACGCGCGGTCCGCCAAGATCGTCATGACGGGGATCCGGAAGATTGCATCCACGGGGCGAACGGTCGTGTGTACGATCCATCAGCCGTCGGCCGAAGTGTTTGACATGTTTGATTATTTGCTATTGCTCAAGCGGGGAGGGGAGACGGTGTATTACGGCGACTTGGGGGCCAACTCGGAACACTTGATCGAATACTTTACCCGAGTCGAGGGGACATCCCTATTGCAGCCTGGCGCAAACCCCGCGACGTGGATGCTCGACGTGATCGGCGCGGGGGTTGAAGCCAAGAACGCGGCGACCGACTTTGTCCAAGTGTTTCATGCTAGCCCCGAGGCCAAGCAGCTCCAAGCGGGGCTTGCGGTTCACATGCTATCGCACCCGGACCGACCCGAGATGAAGTTTACGTCCAAGCGGGCGGCATCGAACGCCACGCAGTGTCAGTACGTCGTCCAGCGCTTCATGCGCATGTATTGGCGCACGCCGTCATACAACTACACGCGGCTAATGCTGTCCATCTTCCTCGCGGTTCTCTTTGGGCTGTGCTTCCGGTCCGTCGACTACACGACGTTTTCCGGCGTGAACGGCGGCATCGGCATGGTGTTTATCACGACTTTGTTTGTCGGCATCATCTCGTTCAACAGTGTGCTGCCGCTGGCGGCCGAAGAGCGCGCGTCCTACTACCGCGAACGCGCATCGCAAACGTACAACGCGCTGTGGTACTTTGTGGGGTCGACCGTGGCCGAGATCCCGTACGTGGTTGTGACATCGTTTGTGTTTACGATCATCTATTACCCGTTCGTGGGCTTCAAGGGCAGTGTGTGGGATGTGGTGTTTTATGGCATTAACCTGAGCCTCTTTGTCCTGTACAATGTGTACTTTGGCCAGTTCATGGCCTATGTTATGCCTCGCGTGGACGTCGCGGCCGCCATGGGGGTGCTCGTGAACTCGATCTTCTTCCTCTTTATGGGATACAACCCGCCCGCATCGCAAATTCCGGCCGGCTACCGATGGCTGACCACGATTTGCCCCCCCAAGTACAGTTTGTCCGTGCTCGTGGCGCAAGTGTTCTCCAAATGTCAAATCCCGACAGACATGGGATGCCATATCATGACCCAAATTCCCCCCATCGTGCTCAAAGAGATCGGCCAACCCCACGTCAATGTCAAGCAGTTCACCGAGCACTTGTTTGATATGAAGTACGATGACGCCCTCGTCAACACGATCGTCGTGGTTGGCTGCATTGTCGTGTTCCGCGTCCTTGGCCTTCTCGCCTTGCGCTACGTGAACCACCAAAAGAGATAAATATTGATTTTTGATATTGTCGATTTGATACAAATTTGGGGAGGGGGTGCAATCGAATCGCGCCGACCAAACCGATCCACAATCGATCTGATTGGTTGAATTTCTTTGAGAAGGTTTTGATTGGCTAATAATTTTGAGCTCATCTGAAGTAGCCAATCAAATCGATTTAAATTCCAACTAGAAACCACGCCACAACACGAAATTTCACTCGAAAGCACAATACTAATACATACTATTTTACTGTAGTACCAGTATATACTACGTAGAGGTAATTTGGCACGGACAAATTACATCTGTATAGTTGAAGCAAATGCTATGATGTGCTACTACACTTTAATTGATTTTTAGAAGCTACCAACCAGTACGTTTGTTGTGGTGTTTGCTTGCTACTAGTACACGGACAAACCTAGTTTAGTTGGGGTCTGGCAGAATACCCCACGCCCGCCATCAGCGTGACCAGGCACAGCACCAACGCCGTCATGTTGATCACGAGATCGTCGCCGACCATGTACACGCCCACACCAAACATCGCAACCACCCGACTAACACGAACAAAACCACATTGACCAACATATATATAAACCAATATACATGTCCAATCGTACACTGCAAGAACGAACGAGTTGGAAGCCAACTTTTGTTATCTATGTATAAACCAAAGTTTCCAGAGCATTGGACACCCATACAGCCACATACCCAGCGCAATCGTGACAGTATGTAGCCAGCACAAGCCCCCCTACTCGATCGTACACGTCACGTGGGGATACATGTGCTTGCCGATTTCACCCGATGTAGCTCCAGTACAAGACCCAGTTGCTCTACATCACAAACAACATATTTGTATGTCCCAGTTCACTGTACGGTATGAGGAGTCCAGCGAATCGAGAGTATGGCCGTTGGGAGGACATTGTTGCATCTGCGAACTGAGGCGGTTTGGAAAGTGTATCGCCGCGAGACAAGGAGCTTTATTTACGGCTTGATGATACCCCTGCTGCAGACGACTAGCATAGGGAATACATTTGCGCATGTAGCGTTAATCGAAGCTGCCTCTAGGTGTCGGCGCGGCTGCCTTTTCCAGCAACATGACGTCCTTCATGGACAACTGTCCATCGAGAATTTTCCGCACATTGTCCGACGTCGTAGCCGCCCGCGCAGTGTCCAACTGTCGCTCGAACTCTTCGGGGGTGACCTGGCTCTTGACAAAGTCTTTGAGCATCGCGGTCGTGGCCAACTGGTTAGCTTCCGCCGCCGCCACGAGGACCGACGAGGCATCGCCTTGCTTCAACACACTATCGTGGTCGTTCTTGAGAAACCAGCGCAAGCGGCTGGTGTTGCCGGCCACCGCCGCGTCACGCGCGGACAGCTCGTTGTCCCGGGCCGCTTTTTCGCGCTTGGCAATGACGTCGTTCAGTGTGGTCTTGCCCTCAAGGTATAGCCGAACGTCTTTGGTCAGGCAGCTGACAATGCACCACGCGCGCTGGTCCTCTGGCATCTCGACGTTGCGGCTGCGATACAACCCTTCCAAGTACTGCAGCACGTACACGCGGTCGTATGTGCAGCCGTAGTAGAATGGCGTCTTGAGCTCGGGATCTAGTTGGTCGAACGCATGGCCGGTGACTTCAATCAAATGCTTCAGTGTAGTCAAGTCGCCTTGCTTGGCGGCATACCAAATCGAGACAGGGGTCGCGTCGGTCATGACGATGTGTTGCGCAAGTGAATTCGAAAATGGTCAACGTGCTAGTGTTTGCAACGGGCCAATGGCATCGCTTCGATTATCCACAAATCGCATTCCAGGAAATTTCGATTGTCGCGTACAATTTTTAGCCCCAAGTCTTGGTTTTATACGAGCAACTCCACCCGTGGGATTTATCGAATGAGATTTATTCGGATAATGTACGGATAACAGCGAGATTTATTGGAGTCCCAGGGATAAATCTCAAAATCCCCACCCATCAGATTTATTCCTATACCGCCGCACTCTGACTACATGTAGCTGCTACGAGTGCGGCACCAAATCAATCCCACATAACGACCATCACATCACATTGAATCAACGTTACAGTAGAAATCTCATGTCGGTGCGCATGCCGCAGTTCGACGCCACAAATTATCTCACTCGTCTAAAATGAATGCTTAAGCTTATCAATAATCACACATGCGTATTCTCATACCATGAGCCACCTGTGATGTGGACTCTGACAAAACAATCTACATGGTGCTCACTAATTCGTTTACCCTGCTGATGCCGCCATCAACGCCCTCACAATTGGGTCGACTTGGTTGTCGCTGCGATGTTGAGGGCTGTGGCGACGGCGTCAGCAGAGTGGACGCTGTGACAGTCAGACGTCCAATTAAGCATTGACAGGGGTTATCGTAGATGTGCACAATTTACTGTGACGCCGCCGTTGCATCACGTGGTCGTTGCTCCGCCGCGTCGACATTGCGCGTTGAGTTCAATATTGCTTTGGATTATTAATATTGATATTACTATAAATCCGGATAGCATAAATCTGATGGAGAAATCGAGGCGGGGTCAGATTTATGTTTGGATCTTTCAAATATAAATCTGACCCCTATAAAACCTGCCGGTGGAGCCGTAAGTCTTATACCTATCTTGACTATGCGTACAGGACAAAAAAACTTCACGTTGCTGTTAACCTGCATCCGAGGGTACATGGCGACACAAAAGTACAGAAGAATCGGTAGAAGGATTTAGCCAATCAGATTGCAGGAAACCAGTGGGGTGTGATTTCAATTAGTGTTACACCAATCACCACAAGACACTTGTCTACATAGAAAATTCAGTAAGCTTACAAAGAATCGATCGATGGATTTGGCGATTTAGCATAAAAGTCCAAATTTCGGGTAACAGGGCAATACACTGTAGTACAGGAAGCACCAAGTGTACACCTTTCTTACCTTGTTTACCTTGCGTGAACTGTGATGCTACGTCTAAGTAAGTTTTACTACATATACTGTATAAAATCGCTGTGAAGCGGTTTCAGTGTAACTGGTGTAATAAGCGCAGCATTGGTGGTGGTCCTGGGTCCGATTAAATAAAAACATTCTATTCTAGATACAAAAAGGAACGTATTTGGTTTTAAATTACAACCACTCCTCGTTTCAAAGCGAATGTGCGGTGGCTGGCCTGTGATTGGGCAATTGGGATCGAATGCTGTCATGTTATTGGCCAGTACGACAGGCCAGCCTGCCCCACGCATTAACAGATACCGAATCGCAAGCCGCCGACGACGACGACGATGGCGACCGAAGGTATGCATGATGTGAACTGGCACAAGATCTTTCCCAAGCGGATCCCTGTGATTCTCCGGGACCTGGCGCCGCAGAACGCGTTCAACCCGACGAACTTGTGGCCGGAAGAGGCCGCGGCTGGCGGGGCCGCCCCTGCGACTTCGCCCGACGCCGAAAAGGGCAAGAAGGAAAAGAAGGACAAGAAGGCGCCCGTGTTGAAGAAAGCCGACTTGATCCGTTTGCAGTTAGCCAAGGATCTTGAAGAGAAAAAGGCCAAGCAGGACGAAGAAAAGCTCAGCAACGCCAAGTTTGTGAACCTCATGGACATGAAGATGGCGACCGCGGCCGGCCGCATGAAGCAACTATACGAGATCAAGAAGGAATTCCTCGCCAAGAAGAACTACATCGACGCCGTCGACACGTTGTGGGAGATCCAGCACACGACCAATACGCCCACCGAGGACGAAGTTGTCGTGCACAAAAAGTACAAAAAGTACGCGAAAAAGGCGATCGATTACCTCAAGGACACGCCGCTGATTCCGTTCCAGCTCACGGAAATGAGCGACCGATTGCCGCCGCTTAACTTGCACCACATGAACAAGTTCATTTTGGATAAGTGGCAGAAGGAAGTGCTCACGCACATCGACCAGAAGCACTCGGTGGTCGTGTGTGCGCCCACAAGTAGCGGGAAAACGGTACGAGTGCTCAATTTCAATGCGATGCCGAAATATTATTATTATTGTATTTGAACTGCTTTTCGATGAATTTGGCACATTTTCGGGAAACACCCCAAGAGTTTCATCCGGATACGTTGTTTCACAGTCAATGCCGAGATTCTCCCTATATTATTATAACATGGATTTATTACACGAGTGTTTATCCCTATATTATTATTATTATTATTACAGGACTATGATTGTGACTCCCGACTATATATATTCGTATGCTATACAATTGTGCTTGGCGTTGTTTGGAAACCATTTTCAAATCATGAGTGCATTTACTCATGATATTGTATGACCGAATAGGTATTGTCGTCATACGTGTCTGTGATCGGGGGCAAAGTGCTGTTTTTGGCGCCGACGGAGCCGCTGGTGTGGCAGGTGGCGGCGCTGTTTCAAGCGATGGTCAAGGGCACCGTGGCACTGGTCACCAAGGGCACGGTGTTCCTTCCCGAGGGCTTCCGCATCTGCGTGGGTACCCCCGCCGCCGTCGAGTCGGCGCTGCTCGACATTGGGTACGATCAATCAATGCAACTTGGTCTCAAAATTCCATGGACGGATATGTCGACTATGGGGGTGGCCTCATGTTGACGATATATATGTATGTGTGCCGTTGGCTTGAGGGGCATGTTGATACTGAGTCCCGTGATAGTTCTCGATATGGCCATATTGGCGATATGTGACATGTGTGATTGAGGGATATTGAACGAGATGGGGTTGTGAGTAGTTGTAGTTTTAAATGGGCGATGTCTTGGAGTGAATGTATATATATATATATACACGATATCCTACGTAGGATATCGTGTGATTATATAAAAAAAGAGTGTGCATCGTTGAATATTATATATAGAAATAGTCGACAACCTCCGGAAGGGGGGCTTGGGTGTGGATATCGAACGAATTATAATATCCCATGTGTGGGTATATCGTTCACGATTAACATGTATATATAAATATCCAATGGATGAATATCTATATATATATATATATATCATGTTGGGTATGGCGTTCACGATTGATATATATATATATAAATATCTAATGGATGAATATCTATATATATATATATCATGTGTGGGTATGGCGTTCATGATTGACATGCATATATATATATATAATGATATCTGTATATATGTAGGTACGACTTTCAATATTGCGTATTTGACGAAGTGCACGACTTGAACGGGGTCGAGGGCGATGCATTGGAGCGCATAGTCAAGAGCATGTCGTGTCCGTTCCTGGCGCTGTCGGCTACGATCGGCAACGCGACCAAAGTCGTCGAGTGGTGGCGCGAGTTCCACCCGAACCCGATCCACCTGCTCGAGTACCGCGGCCGCTTCATCAACCTCCAGCGCCTCGTGTTTCAAAAGACCAAGGTCGTGCCGCTGCATCCGTGCGCGGCCGTGACACTCGAGTACCTTGTGGACCAGGGCTTTGCGGCTGGCGACTTGGCCTTCACGCCTCGCGACACGTACGCGCTATGGAACGCCATGTGGAAGGTGTACCCCCACGAATTGATTCAAGACATTGCGCCTGAAACGTACTTTGAGTCGCTGGTCCAGTCATCGTCGGGCCACACCGTGTCGGCGACTGGCGCTTCTGCGTCGTCTGGTGTCGACGCGAAGAAGAGCAAGAAAAAGGACGACAAAAAGTCGACCAGCAAGAAATCGACCAAAAAAGCCAAGGGGGATGACGACGACGACGACGATTTGAGCTTTTTGAACCCCATGTGCCACCGCATCACGCTGCTCGAAAGCAAGCAGTACGAAGAAGTGGTCAAGGCGCGACTGCAGGCTCTGGCGGCGACGTACCCCGCAGAGACGCAGACATTGCTTAAAGAGCTGGGCCTGTCCACGTTGGAATCGACCGAGTTGGACGTGACAGCGTTGATTCTGGACCTAGTGGCCAAGCAGCTGATCCCCGCGATTTGCTTTCAGCTCGACTCGGTGCGGTGCCGTCAGTTGTTTGACGAGCTCTTGGCCGGCATCGAAGCGGCGCAGGACGCCAAGTACCCTGGCTATCGCCTCAAGCTCGAAGAAGACCACGCCGAGTGGGAAAAGCAGCAGGAAGTGGCCAAGAAGGCCAAGGCCAAGAGCAAGTCGCTGCAAGAAGACCAAGAACGGTGCGTAATCGACAATCAGTCGGGGGTATGACGTGGATGTAGGGAAGCGCAAGAGTTTCAGGAATCCAACGCCCCCGACATCCACGCGCCGCATCCCGAGTTTGTGCTCACGCCGCCGGGGTTTCGACTGTCGGCGGCGGAATTCCGTGAAATCAAGTGGCAACTGCGCCGCGAATTGTCGGAGAGCTCGGACGACGGACACCCGTTGGTATGTATGATGGATGACCTTTGTGCTTGTATTGCTGGATGACGAATTCGTAGATGGAGCGATGATAAGAGTTCTTATATCGAGTTTGATTGGAGACACTTGAGATTCAACTTACGGTGGGGCTAACAGACTGACGATGGTGGTGTAATATATGTCGAGTTTGAGCTTGATTTTTGGGCTGATCTGTCTTTGTCGATGAAGATTGGTTGTTTATCATACCTTGCTTTCTTATTTTTATCCTATATAGTTTTTATAATGTTATATGATTTAGCGACGGGGTAGGTTTTCTCCCCCCAAGAATACTATATATATATATTATATTTTTTTGGTTTGAAGGGGTGATGATATTTTATTCCTGACAAAACCGCACGGTGGTTTTTGAATCCAATATATATATATATATATATATATATATATAGGAGAGACACACACACAACAGCATAGGAGAGAGAGACAACAGCATTGGGTGTGGTGTATAATTTTGCTTTGTGTTCGTTGCTATGCTATTTGTATCTTTATTAATAATATATATATATATCTATGGGGTCACAATATTCATCTCGTTCTGTAGGTGCGATCGTTGCGCCGTGGGATTGCCATCTACAACGAGAACCTTCCGGCCGCGTACCTTCGCATCGTACAGGCACTGGCCCAAGTCGGTCGGCTAGCGGTGGTGTTTTCCGACGAGGCGCTGGCGTACGGTGTCAACATGCCGTTCCGCACTTGCTGCTTTTGCGAAGACGCGCCGACGCTGAGCTCGCTCATGGTGCAGCAGATGGCCGGGCGCGCGGGGCGTCGTGGGCTGGATCGGCAGGGGAACATTGTGTTTAGCGGCATCGAGTGGGGCCGCATGCAGGAACTCATGCGCGGCCTTCTGCCCAACGTGGACGGCAACACGCACAACCTGTACCCGACGCTGTGCTTGCAGTCGTTCTTGTCGCCCCACGTCACCCCCGAGCTCGTGACCCGCATGGCCAGCCATTCGCTACCCCACTTCATGCGCGGCCAAGTCGTGTCGGACTATTTGGATCAAAGCCGCCAGTTTATGACGGCCGTGGGCCTGCTGTCGCCTTCAGGTACGATATAGGTTGATTGGATTTATGTGGTGTTGTTTCATATGGAGTTAGTTGTGAACATGCATTGTATTTGCTTTGTCTTGGAGATTTCAATCGACACGAGTGAGTGCTGCGATGGTTGGATGGCATTTCAATGTCGTTCATGTATATGTGTGAAGGAACCCTTTGGAATCGATATGTGGACTTGAAAAGTTTGGTAATTTGGACTTTTGACGCATGTCGCCACATAGCAGTTTGATCCTATTTAATCTTGTACACAGTATACTATACAACGATTAGTATATATGTGGTTTTGCCCAATGCGGAGGGGTCAAACGTTTGGATTGGCAGAAATTCGACGTGATTTGATTGGCGGTTCTTTAATCGATTCTCCTAAGGCATTCGATTCGGTTGAGGGCTCTTTAGTTTCGAATCGATGTGACAATATATCTTTTGGAATTGCAGACAGTGTCGTCGCAGTCGTTTGGCATTTTTCACGACGTCCATGTATTGTTTGTATCTAAAAGCCCAGTGGTTGTATGGCAATGTCTAATTTCTGTCGATTTCTAGGACAACTGAACGTGGACACGTCGATCGCGCGGCTGATTTGGGAATGCCGCAAGGACGTGGCGGAATCGATTGGGATTTTCCACCTGCTCGAACTCATGCTCACGGAATTTGGGCGTGTGCCGGGCGACAACATTGGCCACCAGCTGGCGCTGTTCAACATGCTTCTGCGCGTGGTGGGCCGCGAGCCGTACCATGCCGAGTACGCGCACGGGTCTGCGCTGTCGGTCGTGTCGGGCCAGGAGGCGGTGTGGGACAAAGTAACGGTCATCCTGCAGGCGTTGCACGACAAGGTGGCGGCACTCGGGTGTCCGGACCTGGTGCTGCCGGTGGCGTTGGATGCGCCCCTGGACGGATACGTTTGGAGCACGCTGGTGGAGAATGTGATTCCTACGGGGCTCAAGACGGCGCAGCTGAACGCGATCAAGAAGCGGCTGTGGCACGTCGGCGACAAGCTCCGACTCATGCACAACCTGCTCATGTACAGCGGGCGGTATGGCGTGCTGGAAGAGATTGTGCGCAAATGCTTTCGCCGCATCAAGTGGATCTTGATCGACTCGGAAGTCTAACCAATGGCCCATCGAATCGAAACTCGAGTAGGAGGATCGAATGTCTTAAAGAAACGATTAAACAACCGCCTAAGCCAATCATATCACGTTGTGGTCATTTTCAGCCAATCCAAACGTTTGACTCCTCCGCATTGGGCAAAACCACATATATACTAGTCTTTGCAAAGTATAGTTTGTACAAGCTTAAATTTGATCCGAATGTTGCTGTATTTGGCGAAATGACTCCAAATTTGGCGATCGAGTGCGATGAAGTTAAAAAAAATACGAGCATATATTGTCGATTTGATATACAAATTTGGGGAGGAGGTGCAATCGAATCGCGCCGACCAAACCGATCCACAATCAATCTGATTGGTTGAATTTCATTTAGAGTGTTTTGATTGGCTAATAATTTTGAGCTCATCTGAAGTAGCCAATCAAATCGATTTAAATTCCAACTAGAAACCACGCCACAACACGAAATTTCACTCGATAGCACAATAGATCTGCATCCCAACGTTTACGTGAAAATGGGGGTTAGCCAACATACAGTACCTGCGACACCTGCAAACTCGCCAAGTTGCAAGTTTACAAACTGTACGTACAGTATCGTAGCATTGGACGAAATACAGTAGTACTCTGAATCTACCGGTAGTCAACACACGAACATGATGAGGTATACTGGTAGAATCAACTTAGCCGCTGTCGTGCCACCGTGGTAACTGGGGGACCACGTCCGATACCAATACAAAGCTTAAGAACTTGACTTTGCAATTTCATTGTACTGTATAGTTCACCAGAATGCTTGTCGTCTGCACCGTAAACAAACAGGTGGCCGAACTTTGACTTCTGCATTTTACATCCAATCAGATAACTTCCTACATTAACGCTGTCCAATAGCATGCCAGGATTTCAAATATTTGAGCCAATCAGTGATTGCAATGAAATATGTTTGTCCGTTTCATGTCAACTGCCCAACATAACAAACCAAGTGGCAAGATGGAAACGCCGCTGTCGCCGTCGCCGCTGCCATTGACGCTGCAATTGGATCCGATATGCGTGGAAGACATTCCTGTGGACGACGAGTTCGATCCTGTCGAGGAAGCACTACTGTCGCCGACGTCCAAGCAACGGTACCGCTCTGGCGCCCTGCAACACCGGTGCGGGTTTGGCTTTATCAAGGGGGCGACGGTCCGCACAAAGTACTTTCGACTGCGAGACCACGGTCTGTTGGGGTACTTCTCTCAAGACGACCACACGGCGTCGTTGGAGATCATGTTCACACTGTTCACGACCATCGAGGCGATGCCGTCGACCAACACGTTTGTGCTGCGGTCCGTGGACATTGTCCAGACAGCGACGTGGCTGAAGGTGGAGGACCCCGTGACGTTCAAAACCAACTCAGCTGACGAGCTCGAGACATGGGTCGCCGACATTCGCACAAAGCTCGACCTGATGAAGCGCAAGGAAGACGCCAAGTCGTACCGGAAGCGTTCCATGATCCCCGTGCACAACGCAGGTCGGACCTACCTACCTACCTCCCACGCCTCGTCGTCTCTTGTTTGAACCAGGGGTATGTAGACGATTTGGTGTTTAGCATCACGGACGACCCGCCGTACTACCGCACGTTCTCGCACAAGTTTCTGCTCCTTAACGAGATTGGCGAAGGGTCGTTTTCGATTGTCCGCAAAGCCGTGAACCGTGTCACAGCGGAAATGTGCGCGGTCAAGTGCTCCAAGCACACTCCGGCGTTGCTCGAAGAAGTGGCCATCCTTAAACAAGTACACGCCCATCACCACAACGTGGTCTGACATATGCGTAGCTGCACCACCCTAATATTGTCAACTTGCATGGGGTGTACAAGCTGGACGAGTTGTTTTACATTGTGATGGACTACATGGCGGACGGCGACCTATGCGACAAATTGATCCAGGTCCAAAAGTTCCCCGAGCCCCACGTCCGCCACGTCATCACAATGGTCGCGCGCGGCATTCAGTACATCCACAGCCTCAACATTGTCCACCGGTATGCCAAATGTCCTTGAATATGGTGTACGACCCCCTCGTGGTTTTGCCTGTCGTCCAATGGATCGTGCAAGCATGAAAATGGAATCTATGCATAGCGATATCAAGCCTGAAAACATCTTGCTGCACAAAACGTCCATCAAGCTGGCCGATTTCGGGCTTGCCAAGCGCATTACGGATCCATCTGGTCATTTTCAAAAAGGATGCGGGACCCCCGAGTATGCCGCGCCTGAGCTGCTGTACGGACGTCCGTATGGTACATATACATATGTACTACGATATGCGTTCTTGTTAGTAGACCTTTGTACGCACGTAATCCCTCGATACAGGCACCAAGTCGGATCTGTTTAGCTTGGGGGTGGTCATGTACGTGCTATTGTTTGGGAACTTTCCGTTCACGGTGGCATCGGCGGCGGCACTGCAGCGGCTGGACCGGTTCTCAGACGGCGAGGACATTCGCGACATGAGCTGCTTGCATCCGTCCAACCCGATTTGGAACACAGTGTCGGCCCAAGCCCAAGAAGTGTTGAGGGGGCTCTTGGCAGTCGATCCAACTGATCGGTACTCTGCCTCGGATTTGCTCGCCCATCGTTGGGTACGTATTGTGTTTCTTTTACCCAAAATGTGGTTGACTTTGTGCTGATTTTTCGCCAAATCTATCGATTCTTTGTCCTGGCCAGTGTCGTCACACTAATTTCAGTCACACACACTAATTTGATGTTGCATTGGTATATGATTGGCTACTTGATTTGTGACCTCTGTTTTGATTGGTCGAATATCGATTGCTGCCCGATTTCACATCGACTTGACAGTATGTCTTGTGACAATGGTCTCATCACGGACCTTGGAATGTATAGTTGACCCAAGGCAATGTCACCCCCAGTGCTGGCTGTGAAGTGGAACCCACATTGACCGACAACGACGACAGCGTTCGGATTCAAAATTGCATCGAGATGGGGTTTGCCGAGCTCATTTGCCGAGGGTTTGAAGTGCTCAAACACAACCAGAACGGGAAAACTAGCCACGCGCACCGCACGACGCTGCGGTATGACGTGGCCACCCACAGCGTGTCGTGGACACCGGCGTCATCATTGCACCAGCACCCGAAAAAACACTTCAAAGTGCACCCGCGTACGATCTTCCTCAAGGACGTGGTCGCGGTCGCGTCGGGGTGCGACGCGTCGCGCGCGTTTGCAAAGATGAAACATCAGACGATCAAGGACGACCACTGCTTGTCGCTCGTGACTGAGTCGCGGACGCTGGATCTGGAGACAGAAACCAAGGGACAGCAGACGTACCTGGTCGAAGGACTCACGCGACTCGTGCAGATGGCCAAGCAGCCGACCCTTCCGAATGTCCAAGGGAACGTCATCTCAACAAAGTAGTTGATAGCACCAGTACACTGTTGGTTGTGGGTCGTAGTATTATACGAGTCATAAATAAGGGGGCCTAGCACGTAAAACTATTGGTGAACAGCCCCATGCCAGCATGATCGAGTTTGTCCTTGGTGTCAAAGATGCTACAAGACACAGTTGATAGAGTTAGTGTCGATCCATATATCTTGGACAAATATATCCTCGACAGATATATATCACTTGGACAAATGTATATAAATATCTCTTCGACAATTATATATAAATATCACTTCGACAAATATATATAAATATCACTTCGACAAATATATATAAATATCACTTCGACAAATATATATAAATATCTCTTCGACAAATATATATATAAATATCTCTTCGACAAATATATATATAAATATCTCTTCAACCAATATATATAAATATCACTTCGACAAATATACATAAATATCTCTTTGTCACATATAACAATCCCGTGGACAAATATATATATGAAATTGCACACGACTACCAGATATATATCTTGGACAATATACACACAAGTGAATGAGTAGATGGGAGGAACGTACTCGGCTTGCTGCCACACGGAGAGGAGCCCGAGCAGCGTCTGAAGGTAGTCGCGGAATTCGACCACGTTTTGGTGGCCAAACATGACTTGGTTGAGCAGCGTGCGGCACTGGACGTCGACGTCTTCAGTCATGACGCCCCCGGGGTACCGTTTGATGAGTTCCAGGGCGTATAAGAGCACAAAGACGCCGCAGTCGCAGCTGTTGGTTTGCCGCGGAACCTATCCATGAATTATATTTTAAAAGTGAAAAAGTCATTCTATTGTCGGACGGGTACTAGACAGACCTCGGGCTCGACAAGCGTCGCGCGCGTGGCGTCAAACGAGTACTCGGGGTGCCGCGACTGGAACTCCTTTTCCAAGTACGCTTGCAACGTAGCCACGATCTTGACCTTGTTGTGGCAATTCAACGAGTCAAAGAATAAAATGCACGGCGCCGCATTGCCTCGTTCCTACCAGTACGCCATGTGTTAGATCCACGAGATATTCACGAACAACATTCTGTAACAAACGATTGCACGTGGGGGACATACATTCTTGATTCGTACAGCAAGTTTATGATTCTACCATGTACAGTACTAGTAGTAGTAATCCCATGCTAGAGATACTTAAATACTAGTCTCATGTCCCCCAGAAGAAGTATTTCACCCACGAATAACGATGGACAACGACTGTTGGAGCACCCCCATCACGGCTCTCACATATATATATTTGTGTATATGAAATATATATATATATATCGACACCTCCACGAAATGTCACAGCTTCAGGTAGTTATATATCCAACGAACGTACTTCGACAAACGGGGGTTGGGCCAACGACCCTGGGTTGCAAATCACGGCTAAACTCCAGTGGCAGCTACAAGGATATACATCTTAGTATCGCGAACCAGGGGAAGAATGCTACCATCGTAAACCAAAACTTACTAGTCTTTCATCAAAATCAACGATATAGAAACAACACATGAAAAACGAACGTACTTGTCGTTGATCGGAACAAACAAGAACCGGTGCGTGAAAATCGATACATTTTTGGTCCACCGCCGGATCTTGTCGAACGAACGATCAGCCGAGGTCGGGTCGAGGTCGTCGGTTTGGTGGTGCTGCTGTTGTTGCGCCAACGTCGTGTAGAAGTGCGTGCTGAAAAAGTACATGTGCTGCTGCTGCCACGGATCCAGCTGTTGGTAGCAGTACCTAACACATCGATCACCATACAATTAACATCCCAAGCATCATCCACATGAGACCCCGTTTCATTGCAAATAGCCCTATCACACGGCATATTTACATGTATACATGGCCAACAGTGCAACGTCCAACATGCTCTTGATGTTCTTAGCAACTCGCACGATACATTGTCTCCATGTATCCAACAACGAGTACAGCCACGCAATATATCACGTAGCGCCGTCCATCCACCCACACAACACGACAGATGAGCTATATATTTATATATGTACAAACTACTATTGTCGATTCGAAATTGGAGTGGTATTTGGGTTTTCAATCGAATGAGCAGAAGAACCAAATCGCAGGCAGACAATCGATATATCGACCAATCAAAATCCTGATCACAAATCAAGTAGTAGCCAATCAAAGTCACTATTCGACCAATACAACAACATCGAACTAGTGTGTGACTGAAATTAGTGTGATACTACTGTACGATCTTTACAAAAGTCAGTACAAAGAATCGATCGATAGATTTGGCAAAGAATCCGCCCAAAAGTCAACCACAGTTTGGGTAAAAGAAACACAATACTAATGACAACGTAGCAATGGGATGATGATGCCATTAAACGTACTTGAAGAAAAAGTCCATGAGGTTGTCGTTGAGGAATTCGCCTTCGACGAGGCGGTCGACGTCGCCTTCGGTGAGAGTGATGCGATTCTTGGCCAGTTTTACGGGATAATGCAGCACCACGCGGTCTTTTGCGTGTTGTCGCGCGGCGGCGGCGGCTTTGTCCTCGTCTCGGGCGCGGGGTTTCCGGGGCGAGTCCACGACCACCATCGCAGTCAAGTGGTGGTCGTTGGAGCAAGTGGAGGAGGGCTGGACGGAGGTGGCCATGGAGTCTCGTAGCCGGGCTCGGGACGACGCAAATGCGTTGGCAGACACTTTGTCCATGGGCTCGTCGAACGTCGATGGCGTGTAAAGCGGATAGAACAGCGACGACATTTTGCGCTTTTCGGCGCGGCGAGTGGTCATGGGGTGGTGCGCCGCGTCGTCGACGGGGGCGAAATCTGGACACCGTGCCAAACGAAAAGTGAGTATAAATTACGAGATTGAAAACAACATCCACACAATCAGACGGTGGTGGTGATGGAGGGGCACTGTAGTAGGTACCAGATCCAGTAGCATACTATATATATATATATATATATATATTATCAAGTCGATTCGAAATGTTGGAGTGCGGTGTTTGTTCTCAATCGACGTGTTAGCAGCCCCAAATCGACAGACAATCGATCGACCAATCAAAACCCAAAACACGAATATCCAGTGGCCAATCCAATCGAACCATTCCACATTGCATAATTCGTGTGTGCCTTTAATTAGTGTTCCGCCTTTAATTAGTGTGACACTGGACAATTGGTTCGTACAAAATGCAGTGTAACAACAGAAATTGATCGATCATACAAGTGGCAGCAATAAGTTTGGCAGAGAACATAATATACAAATCAAAATAACGACGAGAACGAGAGTTTGGAGGAGGCAATCCGTCGTTGTTAGATGAAAGCATTGGACAAGGGTGCTTTTACCTCATAAACAAGATGAGAAATACAAGACAGAATAATCCCAGTCGATGGCCTGTGAATATATCAACCACAAGACAACAACAACAGCAGCATGCTGTAACCACACAATACGATGACAAAGGGGGTCGTACATCTGGAAGAACTTTTGAACTTTCGAGCCATGACGCGCTGGTACTTTGCTGCAGTTTCAAGCAGCAACGACGGACACGGCACGTGGTCGAAATGAATGGCCAGGAGGCTCTGCATCTTGGCCAGCTCCATGTCGTCGTCGAAAGCAAACGCACACTCGGGCGTCGGCGCCGGCTCATGCAGCCCGTTGGCTTGCAACGTCACCAATCGGCAGCTCCAGACTACAGTGAAGACGACGAGCTTGAACGACTCGTCCTTAATGTGTCTAATGCACGGACACGACGTCATACACTGTCGGATGATACGAGGAGGACATGATGATATAGACGCGCGTTTATTATGGTGGAGGCAGGACATGCAACGTACCCCAAGGCTTTGACCTCGTTGAACGGAAAGTACACCCGTTTGATGACGTCGAGCGGCTTGCAGTACTTGTTGATGGCATTCACGTTGTTGTTCTTTGTCAGGAATTGGATCTCCATCTCGCGGCGGTCGTGATGAAATAGAAGGGTTGTCGCACCCACATAACGCTCGCAAATGGCGGTGTACGCGCACTGTACGGACCCTGCGGTCAACGACGTCCTTGCAGACTGCCCTTTGGGCCTGGCCGTGCTTGGCCCCGCGCTGGCGTGCTCCAAACTACTGCCGACGATGGAATTCCGCGCAGGAGGCTTGAAACGCGACTGCTGTCGGTCAAAGTCACTGGTACTGCTGGTCCGTGGCACCACCGACGTCCCCTGAACTTTCTCACGGGGAGGCTCGACAAACTGCACGTCGTCGTCATCGTCGTCGTCTGAATGTACGATCTCTTCCACGTGGGGAGGAGAACCTTCAGCTGCCATCGCCATGACTTCTCCCCGCAAGAGGTTGAACGCGCCTGTCGCTGCTTCCCGCACGCCACGGAACAGGTTTGCCATCGCCGTAAATAAGCGCTCACCCGCGGAACGGCGATATCATTATCTACCAATCAAACTGCCTGATTACATTTCACGCATTGCATTGGCTAAAATACGTACACATTGCAGGAATTCTTTTCATTCGCTATTGTTCGGCCAATCAATTCGCTGACAACAACAAAATGAACATGGATGAATCGACGTGGTGTGGCCAGCTGGCTTGCATGCCGTACGATGTTCCCTGCTCCACACTCTTATCAACATGCATTAAAAGTCTGCACAGTTGTTACCGCATGCTAGCACGGAGTCGTCGCACATTCTTCTTCAAGGCTCTTTGAGTCGACGTCTTAGTCATCGCGCTTTCAACTTGAGACCAAACTATCGCATCCGCTGCACTGGAAGTTGGCTCATGCAGCGGGAACTTGGACATACTTGGCCAGGTTATGCTGTAGGCACGCGGTGCGTCGTGTGGGTGCAGCCAGTGTGACCCGTGCAAACTTAGGCAGTTACCTTTGGAGTGATGAATCCCCACCAGATAAGTCATTGGCAAACAACTACAGTACCAATTGAAACCAGTGTGAGGCGGAAGCCTTCATGGTACTGCTGCACATGAAGATAGTTGCGTGTCCAAGTCATGGTGGAGGATGCGCGGTGATTTGTCGATTACTACGTAACTAGTACATATTCACCCATAATCTGTTTGGATGTTCTGTAATCAAAGAGGCGTATGACAAGCAGGAAACTGTGTTCGTTTCGGCAGACGATTATGCAACTGTTTTTCTTAGATCTGGTATGTGGGCACAATACTAGTAGTGTATTTACGCTTTTGAGTACGGGTGGAGGCAGTTCGGAGTTTGGAGGGGCAATTCTAAACAGATACTTCCTCCGAAGGGGCTTAATGGTTGTAACTGATGTCGCTACACTACCCCAGAGTCCTTTTTTCACTGCACAACATCGACAGCTAGCTACATATCTCCTCCATCGTCATGGTTCACTGCCAACAATTTGCGATGTGGGTGCCCATGGCATTCCAGTAGGTGGTCCTAGGACTCATGAGCGTGTTCTTCGTGTGCTTTAACGTCGTCTTGAACACTGGGAAGTGATCAACTACAGTACCTACCTACCTGGGCAACTCCAAAGACCTCGTCACGCCGCTAATCAACCTCGGCAGTCCCGACAACCTCACGCAACACTTCTCGGTTCCGACCACTTTGGCGAATTTAGACGCGTTGTCCAAAGTGGCATGTTCATGGTTACGACGTGATGGATTCATGCTACATCCTAGACCCCACAGATTTTTACATCCCCACAGCCGGATTCACAGCAAAGTCAACAACATCTGTGGCACCTTCGTTCAGTCATATCCTCTCCCCCGATCGAATAATGTCACCGCGATCAAAGTGGCGGTCGTGCACAACGACATGCAGCTCGTGCGAGGCAACACCCTCGACAACTTCCTTCTTCACCGCTCCCAACCAAGCCCCTCCCACCAACGCCAGCCATTCAGACCTGGCATACCTAGGGTTTGTTTCTGCGCGCTTGGATGTCGACATGCTCCTGACGACGGGAGTCGTGTTTCACCCCCCGCGGGGCAAGCTGTAGTCGCCAACGTCTCCATGTACCGGTACTACGCGCTGGCGGTTTGTTTCGGATGCAACCTGTCATGGAGCTCGGGCTGGACATGTCCAACTCGTCATATCATGTGGACTGACAACAAATTCCCTTATCGTCACGTCGAGCAATGCGTATATGGGCGAGTACGATCACTTGGGGGCGATTCTCGAGCAGTCGTCCGCGACCAAGGTGTCGCTGTACCCCCGGGGGCTCGTGCTGTAGTTTGTGTTGACAGGGTTCGCCACGAGCAGGAAAACCACGCGGTGGACTCAAGGCCCGATCATAGCCACGTTTTGGAAGCGCATGCGGCAGACGTTGGCGCCGCCGCTACACAGCCACACGTTTTCGTTTGCGAGCTATTGTCTCAACAACAGCGACTGGTTTGTGGTTGTGTACGTGGTGGCGGTGATCCT